GTTCGTAATTGAGCTAAAAAAAGACGATGAAGACAGGCTTGTTAACTTGTTCTGGGCAGATAGTATTTCAGTGGCTGATTATGCATGCTTTGGAGAATTATTGGCTTCGATGCGACTTACAAAAGAAACGTCTACAATATGCCTCTAGTCATTTTTTCAGGTACTAATTCTTTTACTTTCGGTTCATAGTAACTTATATTTTCATTCCTATAAAGTATAAAGAATTTATTCATTGAAACTTAATACCACACGTTAAAGAGCCTAATGCAATATCACTTCCATGCGTTATGGGTACAGTGTAATTCTTGTCTTATTAGTGAAGTAATTTTAATAACCTGTTTATTTTTTAGGTGTGAACCACCACTTCAACAGTTGCATATTTGGATGTTCATTTTTGGCAAATGAGAAAGAAGAAAACTATGTATGGGTTCTAGATGCCTTGAGGAGAAGGTTGGGCGGTGTAGATCCTAAAACTGTTGTTACAGATGGAGATAAAGCCATGCGCAATGCAATTCAGCAAGTATTCCCCGATGCGACACATCGTTTATGTGCTTGGCACATAGACAAAACTATTGCCAGAAAAGTGAGGGACAATCCTAACTTCTTGCCACAATGGAAACATTTCGTGTCAGCTGATTGGGAACCTTCAGTATTTGAAGAGAAGTGGAAAACAATGGTCGAGGAGTGCTCACAGCAGCATAACAATTGGGTTTCACATCTATTTGACCAAGAACTGAATGGGGGTATACATACTTGCGCTCAAAGTTCTTTGCAGGCTTGTCAACAACGTCTAGATGTGAAGGAATCAACTCTCAGCTTACCAAGTATATCGAAAACAATCATAATCTACTTGAGTTCTTTATTCATTTGATCGTTGGGCTAGGGATATGAGGAGATAAAGCAACAAGCTGATTTTGAGTCCATCCATTGTGAACAGACCATAACGTCTAATATATTAGTCTCACTTCAGAAGAGTGCGTCTACATTATTCACAAAAGAAGCCTTTTTCAAATTCAGAGATGAGGTTGAAAAGTCGGGAGCTTGTGTAAGGCTGGATTCAGAGATATCGGAAAACCAACGCATTTACAGAGTGACAATGACAGGTAAACAAAAAGTTTTTCAGGTCACATACACAATTGAGCCCTTCGCTATGGAGTGTAGTTGTAACTATTACCACTATATGGGAATACCATGCGCTCATATGGTTCATCTACTGAAAGAAGAGGGTATGCTGGAACTTCCAGAACGGTTGGTAAAGTTAAGGTGGTCAAAGAAGCCGAAGACACTTGATAGCTTACAACAACCACACAATATGGACGAGGCTAGACTATTCACATTCAGGTTTGTAGTTACTGTATAAAGCTGGAAATTGTGTGTTACTGTGTTTAAGAAAGCAGTTCAGATGTGTTTATTAAATACTAAGGTGGTACCAGAGGGCGTTGACCCGTTTTAGAACATAAGCTTTCACTTTTTCGTGACGTTTTAACAGAATAATATTGAATGTGGTTTTCAGATATGGGCTTCTTCAACAAAGCAGCTCCCAGTTATGGTTAAAAGGGGCAAAATCAAGCGAAAGCTTCAACCTTGCTCGTACAGGAATTGCATCCATATGTGAATCGCTAGACATGATGAACGAAGGTGATACTGAGATCCCAGATATCAATAGACCAAAGGCAAAAGAGAAACTTTTGGATCCACATCCTGTGAAATACAAAGGTTCGGGTGGACAAGAAAACAAAAGGAAGAAAGGGGAGCAACGAATGTGTAGCAGATGTGGCGTATTGGGTCATAAAAAAAAGCACTTGTAAGAAGCCTCCTGATTATGAGGCCTACAATACCAGAACCTACTGATACTGAAACTAATGAAGAACCAAATAGTGAAAACGTCACCAACAACGGAGCTGACCAGCAAGCACCACACATTGGCAGAAAACCAAAACATTGCAGTAAATGTGGGAAGGATACTCATAATGCCAGAACTTGTCCAGAGTTATCAGAGGAGGATACTGAAGAGGATGTTGATACAACCGACATCCCTGATTCACCAACTGTAATATTAGAAGTTCATTGTGCATGTCTAGAATACTTTTGGGAAACAATTATTTTCGTTGGAACTAAACTTTATATATTCAATGTTGCAGAAGAAGCCATGTACTAGAAGGGAAGGCCTGAGGAGCAGCAAGAAGGCTAGTTGAAAAGATTGGCATGGATTCTAATAACCGGAGACACATTTCGAATCTGGCCATTTGTTTGATACTCTATGGACGAGTTAGGTTCTTTGATTGGAGGACGTTATGATGTTTGGTTGGGTATTTTCATACTTTCTGGTCCTGGTTGTTCATGTTTTAGGTTCATTAAACTTCTTTTCCAATCAACAATGTATGCCTCTACTTTTGCTGGTCCAGATTATTTTTGTGTTCTAGTTGAAAAACACTCTGTATTGAAAAATATCTAGCTTGGAACTAAACACTAAGCACTAAGCAGAAGAACGAACCTGAGGTCAAAAACCGAGCACAGAGCAAAACCGAGCAACAACCACAGCCACAGGTCTCAAACCACTCTGAACGCTTTGATTACAATCCGAACAGCTTGCCAATGGAAATTAATTGAGGCCAGAAACAAAAATTATCGAGCCTACAATAAAATCAAGAGCAGGGACGAAAAAAATTGAATGGACCGCTTGATTCATTGGATCTGATTACAATCCTCATCGATGGACAATTGAGGACCCGAGAACTTCACTCCGCGTTGGTACAAAGGCTATTCTGTCAAAACTCCAAATCAGTGATAGACCAACACAAATGAGAGAAAGGACAGAGAATTTAGAACATACCTCCATCAGGACTCGCATGCAGCAGCGCCGCCGTCGATGGGAAGAGAACCCAAAACTAAAATCGACAACCCGACCTTTGGCTGAGATTACAATATATGATTATGAGAAGGAGAAGGAACGAAATGACGATTGTGGGAAGGGTTTGGTTCCACTCCGGCGGGTTGACGAACAAGCAAGGTGAAAGACGAAATGAAGAGAAGGAAGTCAGAAAGGTAAAGTTGGGTTGGCAATATTTTTATTTTTTTCATAGGGTGGAAAACTAAAATCGTTGAGAGAGGGAAATTTGACGGAAAAATGTCTGGGTTCGACACCCATCAGAAGCATTTCAGTTTTGGTTTTAAGTTATTACTATTGGGAATAAGCCCGCGCTTCGCTGCAGGATGATTCATATTAATAAGCGTACACAATTGAACAAAGAATGTTGATTGCAGTCCAGCGGATGGCAGTTTGGAAGCCTAATTTTTGGCTTGGGTTCGAAACCCATCAGCAGCATTTCATTTTTGGTTTTAAGTTATTCCCCTTGCAACTTATTTCATTAAGGACATCTGCATATCAATATTGTCTAACACTGAATATAGGTACTTCCCTAAAAAAAAACACTGAATATAGGTACATATGCAAAAGTATTTCCCAAAATGTGTCCTAAGCATTCACAATAGATTCACAGTTTGACCGAACTACCTGATTAAGCCAGGTGGTAGTTGTTACATGACAAAAGGCTAGACCAAAAGTGTTGTCAATTATGTCAGGGCTTAGGTAGAAACAGCAAAAGGCGGTCAATCAGTAGCAGTTATCCTGATTCAAAATGTAGCTGGTCGAAGTTGATGTTCAATCGTCGAAAGCACAAGGATCCCAAAGTGTGGCAACCCTGATGTGCGGCACGGTGCTCTGACCTGGGTTTGGCCATGCAATGTACAGTTCTGCTGCGAAGGTCTTCTTGCAGTTTTTCTTGATGATGTCTTTTATTTCATCTTCGTTCAGTTTGAGATACTTTGCCGGCATCATGCAGAGTATTGACAGAGCTGCCTCGTGGTTGAGTACAACATCGGCCTGGGATGATTCAGATTTGCACCTTGCCTCGATTTGGTAATGTAGTCTGGTCATAATAGAAGCTCGTTAGCTTTGTTGAGAATAATGCAAGCGTTCCTTGCCAAAAGTGCAAACCAATCAATTTAAATATTTAATCTCACCTTGGCGTTTCCCGAGTGGTTCTGCAAGCATCTATTTTGCATAGGACATGAGTGAACTTGATTATGGTTCGGTAGAGGGTTTGAAATATAAAAATTGTTTTTGCCAGGTTAGAGTGCACGGCAATAGCAAGTGAAACATAATTGAATGTTGGGATTTTTCAAAGCATCATAATATACCTCACAATGTTGTGGTATTGAACTCAAGTCTTCTTTTATCTGAGCAAGTGTTCTTCTTGGGGGGCGAGGGTAGCGTAAGTATCCCATCCTTTCAGCTGTTCCATAGATTATGTACTTGATCGGTTTGCGGCATGGCAGAAACCTGAGTTTTGCAAATAGATGTCTATGTTAGGCTAAGTTGTTGCAATGAAAGCATATTTGAAGTGAACAAATTGTCTTAGAGATTGTTAGGAAATCAATACCTGTTCATGACTCTTTCAGTGGTCTCATTGTATGAACTGATAATCAGACGACTGGCTTGTGTCGATTCCAGCTCATATATACCATCATCGTTGCATGCATCGGGCACGGAGACTACCGATGTAACTGTGGTTATCAGCGGGAGGTGCGACTCTACATCTGCTGCTTGTTGGAGGTAACCAGCGACATCGTAGCCACAGTACTTCACAACAGCCTTGTTCCCACTGTTTTGCAATGCAAACAAGATATAAATTATTCGCTTTCGAAAGTTTTAACGATCTAAGGTACATAGTTTAGTATACCTGTAGTCTTCAATAACCAGATGGAAATCAAGCATGCCATCTTGGAGGGCATTTGGTAATGTGATTCGCCGTACGCAGCCTATGTCATCTGTAATTGCATAGATGTTATGGGATTTTTAGTGTGTGTTGGTCGTGAAAGTGATGTACATTGCTTTACCTGCGTGGCAGTGGAAACTTTCAAACTTTGCAGGGACCATTGAGAAATGAGAGTTCATGAATGAGTCGAGGGGAAACTTAGGATTGTTCTGGTCTTCTTCGATGTTGTCAATCAGTTGCTCAGAGTTCATGAGCAGCCGCAGTTCTCCTGGGACAATGCGTTTGTTCTTACTCGAGGGGATTGTAACAATAATGCTAAGGCGATACAGACGACCAACTTTGATCCTCGCCATCACGTCATCAATGTCCTTTTCATATGCCAGAGCTTCAATAACTCGTTTCTGCGGGATTAGCAGGTGTAAAAGAATGTTTAGATAAGCATAAGCAGCTGGTGTTTTTTTTGCTGGGAAATCGTAAACAAACCTTTTTGTCCATCCAGAGCATGCGCAATGCTGGCGTTTTCCAAACCTTTCCGTCAATGACTTCTGTCCACGTCTTTAGAAGCCGAGCTATCACAGTACGGTTGTTGGTTCCCAACCGCAAACCTCGAAACGTCATCGAAGCACAAATGGGGTCTACAATAGAGACAAGAAACACACTAAGTGGAGTCACCAGTAAGGTTTTGCGAATCAATCGAATCCAGTACCAATTTAGACCTACAGAAACACAAACATCGAACCTTGGGGATCGGTGGGGTCCTCGTAATCCAGCGAGGCGACTGGGTTGTCTCGGCGGAAAACTGCCATAGTTCGTTGGTCCGCTGCGATCTTAGTAATCTTTATTAGAGGAATATGATGTTTTCTACTGAGTGGCGTGCTTAGGACCAGACAGTGACATACCTTGGCGCTAGGGTTTTCACCGTGGTCGAAAGGGCAGTTTTTACCGCCGATGCCAGCGAAGATCTGGAACGAGGTCTGTGTTGTCGAGGGAGGCAAGATCAGGGCTTAAGTAAATTGAATGCGGCCTAAAAAAGACAGGCCGGAAGGCTGATTTGGGCCTTCTGGCCCAATGGTTGCTGCTTTTGGCCACAAATGTACATACCTATTATTCAAAGGTTTCATCTTCGGTTTAAACCAACAGGAAATCTCCAAATACGACTACCTATACGATACATCTAAATACACAATCCAATGACAAAAATTTCAGGTTGGCTAATTTCTTTGGAGTGACATGATAATACACCATCTACTTGTCAATTTTCCGGTTTATTAATTTCTGTTTACTTTTCAATTGACATCGATAGCCAAAAGTAACCGGCAAACCTTCACGTACCTACTAATGTACTACGCGAAGGACATACTTACAAGCAAAAACCGTAAACCCTAGACCCTAAAACCCTAAAACACTAAACCCTTAACCATGAACCCTGAACCCTGAACCCTGAACCCTAAACCCTAGACCCTGAAACATAGACCCTGAAACATTAAACCCTAAACCCTAAACCATGAACCCTGATCCCTGAACCCTAAACCCTGAACCCTGAATCCTGAACCCTAAACCCTGAACCCTGAACACTGAACCCTAAACCCTGAACCCTGAATCCTGAATCCTAAACCCTAAACCCTAAACCCTAAACCCTGAACCCTAAACCCTAAACACTGAACCCTAGACCCTGAACGCTGAACCCTAAACCCTAAACCCTAGACCCTTAACCCTGGACCCTGAACTCTAAACCCTAAACTCTGAACCCTAAACCCTAATAAAATCATGTTTGCCCATAAAAGAGCCGAGAATGCCCATAGTGAAACTGCAGAACCGGGACGGCCCTATTGGTCCAACGGTCTGCTACTAATAAAGAAAATCATAGTACTACTATTATTGAAGCCAACGCCGACCTACACAAACAAGCAACCCTAATAAAGTTAGCTCTAACGCTGCAGTTGCTTTCCTGACTCCTACTGCTCTTCCACTTTTCTTTAACACGGAACCGCCATCGCCTCTCTCTCTCTCTCTCTCTGATTGATGACACGGAACCCTGAACCCTGAACAGTTTTTTTTTTTGGAGAAACCGCAGAACAGTCTTTTCCCATTCCCTCCATTCCCTTTCTCTTTGGGGTAAAACGAACAGTCTTTTCCCATTCCCTTTCTCAAAATCACCCCGCTTTTTCTACCAAAAAAAAAAATCACCCCGCTTCCATCTGTTCTTCACCTGCAATTCTGCAAGAAAACCCTCGATGTCGAACCCATCTTCTTCGTGGGTCGCCCAATTCAATCCGGGCGACCGGGTCGAGATCAGCCCCCGCGATGTAGGGTTCCGCGGCTCCTGGTACGCCGGCACCGTCGTCCGCCGCGAGGCGAAGAACACCAATCGTTACGTAGTCGAGTACGACCAGCTCTACGCGGACGAATCTGGGGAGAAGCTGCTGCAAGAAACCCTCGATTGGATCCAATTGCGTCCGCCGCCGCCGCCTCCCGAGAAGAAGGTCCAGTTCAAGTTCGAAGACGAAGTGGAGGCCTTCTACAGCGACGGCTGGTGGGAAGGGGCTATTATTGCGGAGCACTCCGGCGGGAAATTCGCGGTGTTCCTCAGAGGCTTTGAGGAGCAGATTGTGTTTGAAGAGAAAGATTTGAGGTTGCCTGTTCAGTGGGTTAAAGGGAAGTGGGAGTCGCGATTCGAACAGGTTCATCGGGAGAAAGAGGTGAGCTAATTCGATTTTATGACTTTTTCCTGCTCCGTTGCTTGGTATAACAATTTTAGGGAATTTTGAATCTCGATCTAGTTAGGTTGAGGAAAGTAGAGAATGTTGGGTATTAGCGGAATTGTGGTGGAAAATAGGATCAAAACAAAGGAAACAATTGGTGTTTAATCACTCTTTTTATAAATCACTCAAACAAACAAGGCCTTAATTTTTGGCTCTTGTTGCTTACAAACACATAGATACAAAGACTTCTTTCTTTCTTTTATGTCTCTTCCCCATTGCACTATGACACACCCCATGCATACATATATAATACACAATTGAAGAAGAAAGAAACTAATAGAATGACCCCATATACTCAATGCAAGTGAGCCCTCTTCCATCATCATCTTCTCTTCCACGATACAACACAACACATGCATGAGTTAATACCAAATCCAATCATGTTCTCATGCATTGATATAGCCTTATCAATTTTGTCTTCAACTTCCAATCCACTTGCTGCAACTTGCTTGAATTAGTTTGATGATGTCTCTTACATGTGCTCTTGTTCTTCATGTCAACATTGGGGTAGATATTGATAATTGATCAATCAATAATATTAGGCCTACCATGTGAAGTGTTTTGGGGTAAATTTATTGCAAATTACCTTTTAACAGAGAATTGGGTGATCAGAGATGGCATTTGTTCTTTTTCACAATGTCTCAACCTCGTTGAATCGCTTCATAAACATGCAGATGTGGCTAAACTCAAATTGTTCCAAGGAAGTGATGAAGTTCACTCAAGGAATGCAAGTCGAGGTGCTAACTGACGAAGACGGTTTGAAAGGTGCTTGGTTTGCTGCAACAATTATTGAACCTTCGGGTGAAGACAAGTACCTTATTGAGTACAAAACCCTGAGGAATGATGATGATACTGAGTTTCTCAGAGAAGTCATTCGTGCTTGCAACATAAGGCCTTGTCCGCCGGAGATCATTGTTGTGGATGGATTCAAGGTGTGGGATGAAGTAGATGCTTACTACAACGAGGGCTGGTGGGTTGGCGTGATTGCAAAGGTCTTGATCAACTCCAATTACGAGGTTAGCTTTATAGAGTATGATGAGAAGATAACGTTCAATCAGGCTGATTTGAGGCCACATCAGGACTGGTTAAACGGCAAGTGGGTTGTTCCCTCAGATGTCTGACTTTTATGCTCTCAATTCTAAAAACACTACTAGCCTTTGTTCTTGCATGTGGTCTTTCTCTTTCGGTGTTGTCTGTTACCGTTGTGCATCTGATGGTGGGTGTCGGTGGTGGGGTTTGGTGGTGTTTTTTTTTTCCTTGCTTCTTTTTTTTTTTTTTGGGTCTGTTGTTTTTGGTGGCTCCAGGTTCTCTTAGACTAGCCTACAATCCTTCCTGGATTTCGGTCCAAACTCTCTATCACATTCCTATTTTGTAATGAAATCTGTCCGCCACAACTACTTATTTTATTCTTCTTTGCTCAACTCACAATTGCAATCATGTGGACCTTAAATTTGGAGGCTGATTTGGGCTATAATAAGGATTAAGCCCAACGAAGCAAATTAATGGATAATCTCCAACTTAATGCTAACAAATTAATGACTAATCTTCCAAAAAAATTTGATAGACCCCGTATTAAACCGACATCTTTTAATTAAACACTTTAACCAAAAATAGTTTACCGATCAAGAACACAAAGTTACCATGCCCTCTATTCCCTCACCAGTCACCACACGTTGGAGAGCCAAGCAAAGGTATAATTGTCGTTTCAAGTAATTAATCATTTGCTAGTGGTTTGTATTATTTGTTTCTTTTACATATCACCCAAGAGATCCAAGTGCACTCCCATGGCAAACCCACGTGGAAAGTAATGAGGCAACTATGTATTTCCACCCCATTTTTCCTCTCATGGTCGGGTATAGACCAAACTAGTAACAAGCTGAGTCACCCTAGTTGACCACCCATGGAGAGTTTCTCCAATGACATGCACGTAGCAAAGGAAGTGATGGTTGACTTACATTTAGTTTCTTTGCTTGACAAACATAAATAAGGCCCTCCAATCTTTCCCTGTAGACACGTTGACATGAGGTGGACGATTACAATCAAAATGAGTTTCTTCTGAAACTCAAACTAGATGAGCAAACACATGAGCTTGGGACCACAACAAAGCATACAAATCCTCCTTCAACATATCCGAACAAACTAGAGAATCCTGTCGCATCGTATGTGTCTGACGCATACGAGTCGTTTCCAAGAGTGAACTTCTTGTTGTTATCCTACTCCACCAAGCAAACGACCCCTTAGTAATGACTAATTAGGATGAAATGAGTTGTTTGCTAGCTCGAGCCAAAATTTTGATCGACATTTTGTCAAATTTCCGGTTTATTAATTTCTGTTTACTTTTCACTTGACTTCTATAGCCAAAAGTAACCGGCAAACGACCCCTTAGTAATGACTAATTAGCGTGAATCTTAGAGCCATTATTGGTACTTTCTTATGATTTAGGGTTCTGACATTTTAATTTTGTGGTTCTAATTATCGTAGAGGAAGAGGAAAGGGTCCCCGATTTGGATCTCTAGCCTGCCTGCTCTAACGGTGAAATCGCCAGCTCAAGACGTTCCGTCTCTTATCTGGTCCCGTCCCAAAATCAAAAATCCATCGAAGTCCATAGGGTTAATAAAAGCACAACGATCACCAGCCCAGCAATCCATTCTTAAAATACCTCTGATTCCAATTTAAAAGAGTTACTTAAAAAATAATGTAAGGGCCGGCCCATTGACCATGTAGTTGTTATAAATTTGGGCTGTAAATAGAGGCCCATAAGTCCATCCTTAAAAAAGTAAAAATCTCTATATTGGATTGCAAGGGAAAGCCCCATTTAGTCACGTTTGGATCAATGCTTATCCCGTCACATCTACTATGAGTAATTTGTTCAAAGTAACATAACTAAATTAAATTCATATGTTACATCAAGTACCATCTCAAAAGGATAATAAAGCTACAAAAGATATTAGCGTTCACATATCCATTACGCTAATAGATCATTAGAAACTACAGAAAGGTGGAGCATTACTAACATTAATCCTATCATATTAATAATACCCAATGCTACTTAGTTATCTAAAGCCGGGAACAACTTAACCAAAAAAAGATCAGAAAAATGCTCCACGTCGTTCCAAGGACCGAATGTAACCAAGACTTTATATGCCTTGTCACTAATCATATTCAGTAGTGTAACATACTCCGCATTTTCAATCTCAGAAGGACTGGCAACAGAAGACATTATTCTTCGTAAGTAAGCTGATGGGAACACGACCTCAACATCAGACAAGTCATCTTCAATGGTCAAGTGAATCAAATATATGTTCGATGCCTCAGACCAAGATCTCCTCAACTCTGTTACAATGCCAGACAAAATGTACGACTTCCCCTGAAATAATCCAAAACATAAAGAGGCGAAAATAATACGAAATCAGATGCAAATTATTGAGATAAGAGATAGATATGGATAGATAAAACAACATGTTATCTTAGTCACCTGATTACCACCATTCATTTGCATTGGGATAAGGTCTATAGTATCCACGGTGTCCCAAATTGCTGCGGCAGTTTGATAGTTTAGATTCATAACGAAATCGTCTCCCATGGTAAAAGACCTATAATTTAGATTTTTAGCAATATTAGCAACTATATCGACAAAGGTTAGAGTTCTTACACTAATCAACTAATCATGTAAAACAGAATATAAACAAACTATAGGAAAGCAAGACATGACTCTGTCAATCCTTTAATGGATTTTTCAATTGGACCTATATTTTACTTCTTTTGACTTATTCTTTGTTGATTCTTACATGGAATTTTTCAACTGGACTCTACTACGTTTTATACAAACAATATATAATGTTTTGTTTCTATACAACACACACTACGTAATCAGATCCAAGTTAAATAATTTTGAAATATATATCCTCAACTATGGATCAATGCTATGCTAAAATCGAAGCAATAACAATTAATCATGTCTCTAAATTGAATAGGCAAACTACATTGTATTAGAAAGCATGCATTCTAACTCACCGGTGGAGCTCGCAAGTATTTTCTGGGAGTCTCTTCCTCAAAAACTTTCTGAATGCTAAGATTTTAGTAGATCGGGAGAAAGCAAAGTTGAAGGATAGCCGGCGACTATACTTTATGAGTGTGCTGGAAAAAATTGTCGACGCTGTTGATGAGAGGAAAGAACAGATTTTTATAAGGTAGGGTTTTAGAAATTACCTCCTGGAGATGGCGAAATGGGTTCAATGTCTGTCAGGCAGAGAGGAGGACAGCAACATGCATCCATGCAATGGATTTGTTCTCCATTTGGTTTGTTCGTCGGAAAGTGAACAGAGTAGTGGAAGCCATATGGGAAGAATGGAGTTGAAAGGTCTTCGGGGGTTTTTTACGCGGTAGCGTTGTACAAAGTACCTCCTGGAAATGCCGAGATGGAACTGATGTCGGTCAGGTAGAGAGAAGGAATTGAAAATGCGTTCATGCAATGGATTTGTTGTGCATTTGCTTTCTTCGTCGGATAGTGAATAGAGCAGTGGAAGCCGAAAGGGAAGAAGGAAGTTGAAACGTCTTCTGGGTGGGGGGGAGGGGGTTTTTTTTTTGTTTTGTTTTTGTTTGATCCAAATGTGACTGAAGAGGGCTTTCCAGTTTGCAATAAATGGCCGGTTGGTGATCCTTTATAATGGGCTAAATGAATAAATGTTGACGGGCCGATAAGACAAGTCCGCTAATGGGCCTGGTGAGAAAAGCCTAAGTAAATATTTGTAACTGCCTTATTTGTAATTCTCCACTAACAATTGTCCATTAAAAAAAATAAACTGTAATCATAAGTAAAACCTGAATTGAAGTTCAAATAAATCGATCAAATATTTCTGGGAATACTATATTCACCATTGAAGTGACATCCTCTCCATTCTCATTGGCACTCAAAATCTTCAATCCAAGCTAGATATTTTTCAATACAGAGTGTTTTCCGTGTGTGCACATGTGGTTGAAGACATTGTATCTGAATATTGGTTACTGACTATAGACCTGTTGTGCAGTGGTTTTCCAAGAAGAGGACAGATGGGCCACTCCGCTTATGCACACCGGTAAGTTTCAAGTATACCCTTTCTTGGTTTGCTAGATCTTAATGAAAACAAGAATAATGAACTGAACACAAAAATAATCCGGACCAGCAAAAGTAGAGGCATACATTGTTGATTGGAAAAGAAGTTTATATTTAAGCACCTTCGTATTTTTATTTTCAAGTTCGCTCTTGTTATTAATTTTCAAGTTCGCTCTTTCTTATGAATCACGAATACTAATTTTTGATTGTTTGTGGCATGTAGTGTAGTATGAAGCAACAAACAACCCATAAGGAAGCAACAATTCAATAAAAAGGGCAGGACCCGTACAAAATAACATTGTGTTCACACACTTAGTACACTTGGATAACAAGAGAAATGGCATTAAGGCCGACACTAAGCAAATTTACTAGATTTCTATTGACTTTGCTGTAATGGTCCTCAGTTTCCACGAGGAAAGAATAGTTTGACCAATAACAGCTCAAAATACCCATGGTTCCAAGGACCCAATGTGACCATAAACTCATAAGAGTTTCCACCAAGCAAGTTGACAAGGGTAACGAAATCGGCATTGGCCATGTCTTCATCACTTACTACATCTGAAAGGATTTTGCGTAAGTTTGCCGATGGGAAAACAACCTCAACATCGAAATAGTCATCCTCAATAACTAAGTGGATCAAATGAACTCTAGATGCAGCACGCCATGATGTCCTGACCTCGGTGACACGTCCAGAGAAGAGGTAAGAAGTGCCCTGGTGTTTAAAACAACAAATGGATTTTCAAAACAAAATTAACAAGCATTAACAAACACAAAAAGTGCAAACGAGAGCGAGAATGACGAATGACAAAAAAAAAATTATTTCAATAACCTCAACGTCACCATTCTCTTGCAACAATATAAGACCGAGTGATTCCGTAAATTCAGACATAGAACCTGCTTCCTCATACCGCAGCTTTGCAACGAAACCAGGCTCAACCATAAAATCCCTACAAATAGAACCGTTACTAATGTCTGACCATACGAAAAGGAAGCGGAGTAGACAGTCTAAGGATTAGTTGGTAAACAATACTTACGGGTACCATTGAGATACACGATCCATTGTAAGAAAATTACACCTACGAGTATAACAACACACTACGTCAGATACTCTAATCCACCGTACCAAATAGTTAAAAAGCATTTAGAAAAATGTACCTGCGGCGGTTGAAACGTGGTCGGCGGCAACTCGTTGTTAGTCCGGGAAGGAAGGAAGACACCGATTGGAATTCCTTTTTTCCACAGGATTTTCCTTCGCCTGCTCTTCTGTCAACAGACGACAACCCTACCCTTGCTGCTCTCTCCCTAACTTTCTCCTGCCTTTCGTCCTGGGAACTTTCTGCCGCTCTTCTTCCCACAACCCCTCGAGCGAATCAGCGGCGGCGGTGGCAGGCGACGATGGTGGCTCGGAGGTGGAGACCAGTATTGAGCGACCGCCGACCAGCGGTGGATTGACTGGCGGAGGCGGAGGCGGAGGGGGAGGCTTGCATGCAAGGGAGGCGGAAGCGAAGGAAGGACGAGAATGGAGGTTAAGTTTTCTTTCTCAAGGAAAACAGAGAAGCCTGCGCATGGGGGGAAGAAAAAGCAGGGATATGGATCGATTGCTTGATTTTGTAGGCTAGTCTTTCAGTTGTTCAACTTTGCCATAATTGATCTGTGTTGGGAGTTGGGACTTGGGAGAATACAAATAATGCGAAAAGGCGTTGTGCCGCCGATCTGCTATTGCTAAGGGCCTTATTGGGCCTGGTACAAAAGGCATGTTCGAATTCACATGAGGCCTTTTTAATGGCCAAAAAATACGAGGCCTTTTTAATCAATCGATCGGATTATTTAGACAACAAATAATCCGAATCGATAGTGAACAAATAATTAGGATCTCAAAACAACCTATGGTACTTTAGCTGTCTAGCGAATTTCACTGATCATCTAGAATGACAAAGAACAATTGTTCCACGTGATAGGATCATCTCCGACAAAAATCTCATAAGATCTTCCTTGATCTATCATAACCTCATCGTGACTTGGCCATAGGTATCGATGTCATGAAAGTGCCTGATATGAATATATTTATAAGGAAGAAGACATTCTACCTCAACCGACAAACTTCTATCAATGTAAAACTTCTATCGATGTCAAGTCTCACTTTTCAACTATAATGTTATATACTATGTTACATGCGTCTTAGTATATGAAATCGTTTACGCTACAAATTTTTTTAAAGCAACACTGCATCTCTTTTATAATAACAACCAATCCATTTTACACGCATCAATGTCAAGGCAGAATATTGAACCATTCGGAACATGGAGCTTTCACGTTTATAAGTTTGTCAAGGCAGAATTTCAAACTTAGTCACTAGACTGCACTACAAATGCCCTTTCACGTGGTTTAGCAAAGGTTTGTTTTGGGATGTACTAGTCCTTTGTA